TCTTATGAAAACGTTAGAGGCGATCGATAAAAATGAAACATTTTCCATAAATCTCTTAGATGCAGTCAATTTCATTCATAGAGCTTGGCAAAAAGTTAGCCGAAAAACCATTGCAAATTGCTTTAAGCATGGGGGATTTGTAAGAAAAGAAACTGATTATGAACCAGACGATGAAATTCCACTTAACGAATGGTTAGAAAAGTATAAAGATTCTGACTACGAGTATGACACAGACGAAGATGTCCCAATGTTGTCGAAGAACAAGTTAAAACCAAATTGAGTGATTTCAATTTCTTCGAATCGAGCATTGATAATGGCATTCTTACAAGAGAAATGTTGACCGATGAGCAAATTATAGACTCCGTAACCGCATCTACAGCTTTAAGCGATAATGAGAAATATGACGAATTAGGTGAAACGTATTCTACTGTAGACACTAATGCTGTTCCAACCATTTCTGAAATGACGAAAGCGTGTCAGAAATTCGGAATTTTCGCCAAGTTCCTAATCAAGTCTGGGAGTCATTTTGTGATCTTGAAAACTACATTAATAACATATTTTTGCAGCAGAAATGTACAAACAAAATTATAGCGAACTCCGGATATAACGAACCAGTTTTAGTCCATTTTTCAAGTTCGTTATATCCGGACTCAACTGTATTTATTTCCCAGTTAAATATCCCCCAATAATCTTATTAGCCGTAAACAGTAATTTGCTTACAAAACATTGGCTTTCGGACTCACAAGAAATAATATGTTTGCCCTCTTATCATAGAACATAGCTAAAGGTTATTTGAGAAGTAACTCTGAACTGTAGTTGTGTGTTTGATAAGTTCTTGTTTCATTCCATTTCAACCTGTACGGCTTCAGAAGTGGTCCATTACAATTGTATAAAATATATACAGGGTGTCCCGTAAGCACATGATCAAAAGGGTGCTGCGATATTCTTTGAATCAACAGAAGACTATCTGACCTAACTTTTATTTACAAAAAATGTCTGGCTCCTCTGCTATTGATGGTCAAAGTTCTTCAAAAAACTTATCTTTTTTGAAATATCGGGAGAATGGTACGATGTATTTTGGTAAAACTCGCTGTGAATGTGTTCTAATGTAAAACTCATAGTTTGATGAAACAACCGAGTTCATCCGTTTTGGCCAAGTTGTAAATTCTTGAGTGTCGTGATACAAAACTACCAGAACTTTTTATTTGGTGGATGGAATCAACTAATTTTTTTTTCGTTAATACACTAATTATTTGTTCACAATTTTGTGCTTTTTGTAAAATCTTGTAGCAAAAAAATGTCTGTTTTCTAGCCACTTAACAATGTTAGACATTAACTGCAAATATGCGGCGCGTAGACGCAAGTTGTCTTCGCAAAACCCTAATACTTTGACCATGTCGGTCACTTCTTCATTAGAAAAGGTCATTCGAAACGAATTTGTGAGATTGATTGACAATTAATTTATGCCTCGTATCACGATATTTGCAGTTAATATCTAACATTGTTAAGTGGCAAGAAAACAGAAATATTTTTTTCGCAAAAACTATGAAAGCTACATGAGTTTACAAAGAGCACAAAATTGTGAACAAATAATTAGTGCATCAAACAAAAAAAAATTGGGTTGATTTCATCCACCAAATAAAAAGTTCTGGTAGTTTTTGTACCATCACCCTCAAGAACTCTCCACTTGTCCAAAACGGCTGAACTCGATTGTTTCATCACAATATGAGTCTTACATAAGAACCAAATTCACAGCGAGTTTCACCAAAATACATTGAACGACCATCAATAGCAGAGGAGCCAGACAGTTTTTGTTAATAAAAGTTAGATCAGATCGTCTTCTTTTCATCATCATGTGCTTACGGGACACCCTGCATACTGAGGAAATAACTAAGTTTAAACGTGATTAGTTTTTCCAGCAGATAAATGGTTGAACTTTCCGTCTATACATTTTCCAGTTTCAGATGGACTAAACAAAACTGGCCTAAAAACAGGACAAATAAGCAGACCAAAGTCCTCAATACTAGATGAAATGAAACAAGATATGAAGGAACGAACACAAAGGGGGCATAGCGAGCCGCAAGATAGGTCTATGAGGTGAGGTTTTGCCTATACATAATAAACCTAGATAATCACCATTGCCTTCTCAGTTTTTTCATTAATCAAGAACGGTATTTTTTTAGTGTGGCCAGCAATATGAGCGTTCTTAGTTCCGCTAGTAACGTAATAGAGTGCGACACATTCAACGACCAGGTCAGTAATATTAATCAAGCTTTTGAAGCGATTATTTCAGTTTTCGTACTAATGAAAACTGCCCGTTTTAGCTGGCAGCGACCTATCGCGAAGAACTCCGAAAAACATGCAAGTGCCCATATGAAGAATGTAAAGGTTTGGATTTAAAGGAAAGTTATTTTAGATATACGAGCCACATGATTGAAGAACATAACGCTAAACCATATTTTAAGTGCGACGCCTGCGATTTTGAGTACTTTAAGAAGTAAAATATCCCTATTTTCGTTAAGTTTCGCGTTGATTATCCTGAATTTTTTCTAGAGAACATCTGAAAATACATTCACTAAGACACGATGTATTCCCAGTGTTATGCGGAATTTGTGGAAATCACACACCAAACGTTTCTGCCTATCAGCTGCACGCGGATAAGCACCTTGCCTCATCATTCAAGTGCATTGTCTGTGATATGGCGTTTTGCACCAAAAAGGAATGTAATAAACACATTTTTAGCAACCACAGACAAAGGTGTGTTTATAATTCCGATATTGGCATTCATATGTAATCACACATAAGCCAGTACTTATTGACTTGATGATTTTAGACGACGCATATTTTTACGGCGGAAAGCATCTCAGCCTTTGGAATCCATTATTTTAAAACAAATCGACCATAAAAAACCAAATTTGCTTCTTGGAACGACGATAGCCCCATGTGTAGAGCCTGTAAATAACAAGAAATGTCGAGAAATGAAGATAACCTGCAACGAACCTGAGCAATTTAAGGAAAAATCGTTTCGAGAACTGGATTTTCTTCAGAGGCATCCACCTGCTGAATGGGATCCAGATGCGTTTAGTTTAGGAGACAATGTGTTTCAGAGCGGAAATCTAGATAAAAGGTATTTCATTATAACAAATATCATATCTGATTTAACAGTGAATTTATTTCAGGATAAAAGCGGAATTGGCAAAGTCAGGCAAAATGAGTGATTTATACGATAAGGTTTCAAACAGACCAAATACCGCGCGGGATAAAAGTGGCCGCACCACTCCGTTTCAAAGGTATTTAACAATTTTATTAATATCGGATTGTTTGTAAATAAAAGCAACTTTTACAGATCAGAAACTCCTTTTAGCGAGGATTTGGATATGCCTCCGTGTGCCGGAATTAACAATTATTATAAAACAAGTAGGGATTTGGAGTCGAGAAACACTGAAGTTGCAAAGTACATGAATGGAGACGAGGATTCAGACGCCAATAGTGAGACGTAAGTCGATTTAAATTAATTATCATAATGTACAAAGATTTTGGCATCTCTACTTTCATTCTTCAAATTACTTTCACCTTGAACGCTTATATTTCTTCTTGTATTCCAGGCAAGAAGTACAGAGCGATTTGGAAAGCGAAAATCAGTATTTAGATGGAAATACGTTTCTATCATCGATCCCCTCACCCTACAGTCGCATAGATAAAAGTTAAGTTTGCAGCGTATTCGACTCGCAGAGTTACCGAAGTAATTAACACAAATCTTGATTGGTGGGGTACATAGATTAGGAAACTGCGGTTTCATTCAGAGACCAAAAACCATTCAACTAACAAGTTCTTTACAAAAACAGGCAAGTCGAATACGCTAAAATAAAAAATAAATATTTCCCTCACAAATTTATTGATCAAAGTTTTGTCTTATGGTGATATTTAAGTCGGGCAAATGTAGGTAGCACACCAGTGAAAAAAAAACAAGTGCCTCGATTGAAATTTCAACAAAAGCAAAGATAGATAAATATGTAAGTATTGGGTATAATTTTACTGAATTAATATATGCACATTAAGTTAGTAGGTAAGAGTTTAACTGTTTGTTTATCTAATCAGAACTGAGGGCCATCCCTTTGCTGACTTATTTTTTGTGTTTGGCATGTGTAAGATTGTAAATCTGTATGTTAACAAAACAGTGCAAGGGTTTCTTTTCAATAAGAATACGAACGTTTTAAAGACACATAATTTAAATATTTTTTATCAAACTTGAAATTAATAATAAATATAAACTTAAAAATGAATAGCTTAATTTTGAAGACTTAATAAGAACCATTAGATTTGATCAATTGAATATGTAAGAAATTGTTAATTTGCATTATTATATTTAAAACAATTGTAAAATACAATTTGTATTTAAGTTCTTCTTGTTTGAAACTGATATTTTTTAGCTCATTCGCAGTGTGAAACATAATTGATCAATTTCGTAGCCAGTAAGCCAAACAATTCTTTGTAAAGTAAATGCCACTGTTAACCAAAGTTTTAGGATTATTTAATCTTGGAATTGTTTTGTATCATCTGTTAAAAAACCGAATATCTTGTGTATTTTATTTACTGTTTCATCTACTTTAATAAAAAACCATTTCTGGATGTTCTAATGGAAATGGCTAATAGTCATTAAATCAAGATTTTATTTTATATTCCTTGTGTAACTCATTGATTTCCCATCAATAACTATTTTTTTTGAACTAATGCCAAGGAAAATTTGACTGAGGTGCAATATAATCATTTTTTGTCAAGCAGCACTTATCAGAATATTGTTTAAGTGTGTCCATTCGTGAATAAGGAAGTTTTTCCAACCAGCTCCCAATTAAATGACCCTGCTTTTTGATAATTTTAAGAGTTGACTGGTTACTTTCCAAGCTAGTCTATATTCCACGAAACGGCTGCTCTATGTTTGCTATTTATTCACATACAAAGAACACTTCTGTAAACATGGTGGGTGGAACGAGAAAGTGAAAGCTAATGTATGCGAAGCACTGAGCGTTCCGATCATTAACATACTTATTTACACCTAGTTGATATTTGCGACCCATTCGGGCCTTTCTTGTACTGTCAACCATATAAAACTACAACGTAATGATGCAGGACTTAGAATAAACATAAAATTCAGTTGACGAATACCAAATTGAAAAAGAACCTGCCTAAATGTACAGAACAGGGCGCAGCTGAGACTATGCGAACCTTCTAGAACAAGTACAATGGAAGTTATTCGAATATGTGAATCACTTCCTTACTATTTTAACATGCTACTTTTTCTCAACAACAAAATATAATTATTTTGAGTCGATTTTTCATCAAAATATCCTAAATTATTACATGTTTTATTGCAATTAATACTACTTTAATTTAAAACGAGTAAAAATTAGAAAATTAAAAAACTTACATAACAATGTAGAACACAAAAATGTAGAACTTTTTCCCGCTGATGTGTATCAGCATTACAATGTGCAAAAGGAGCACCATTGTAACTGTGCAACAATAAATTGTAATTTATAGGAAATGCACCCATAAAGTGTCTAAACTGTTTCATAATTGTACATAAAGTATTATACAAGGAGATACACAATAATCCGATTAATAATTTTGAAAAATTGTGACGCTTTAAAACCTAATAAAAAAATAAAAGCCTCTCCTGGTGGGTGGTTGACAACGTATGCCAACCACGTTTGATATTCAAGTATTGAAAAATAGCCCTGATACAGATGATCAGGCCTATAGAAAGTAAAATAGAATTAATACATGTTGAAATCAATTCGCTAGAACTGGGAAACTTACCAAAACACATTATCAGCCACCACAACCAGCCGTTGTCCTGGGCAGCCAGGTTAGCAGAATAATGCACAATAAACGTCCATTTGGCCAATGAGAGTCCAAAACCAGAAAGAGCTCCATACCGGGACGCAATCGTGTGACAAAAACACATCAGCAGCAAGAACCCAATCCAGTTGAAAACAAATGCCACTGAAAACCAATAGATTTGCCATTAAATAAACCTAAATCGCTTTTCCAACCTACCGAAGAAAGCGATATAAAACATAAAATCCGTGCCCAACACGCTTGTATCATCTTCGTCATTCACTTCATTATCGACAGGCAGCAGGTCCCTTTGACTTGGTGGATGTATGAACTGAGGAATGGAAAAAAGCCCAATTTTCGTCGCTCAAACCGAATGGTACTCACATCATTCCCCATGTTTATTCCTAATATTCCATCTTCAAAATCCTTTTCCCGTTGAACTTCTTCATAGGTGGGTAATTTTGTGGTTTGAGTTGCCAACTCGTATGGCGGAGGTGCGTTGTAATCGGCCTGGGTTAAAATAGTTAAGACACATATTAAGCAGAATCGAAGCAGAAACAAAAAGACTTACCTTGGGCGGTGGAATATCTTCCAAAGAACAACTGGCAGTCACATGAATACTGCTAGGTATTTCCACCGTTCTTGGCAGTTCTTCAATCAAAGTTTCCACTTCAAAAATTGCGTCCGAACTGGTCGGCAATGCCTTATTGGCATCTGGCCTAGCAGTGAAACCAGTCGCCGTTGAATCATGACTTTGGCTGGTCGACTTTAAGGCAAAATGAGCAAACATTATCCAGCAGCACCATGCAAAAAGGAATTTACACTATTCCAGTGTAAAACAAGCTAAAGCTTAAGCCACTGGCGAGCTATGTAAATCAGCTTAGCTTCAACCTTGATGAATTGATAACAAGTAAAATGGGAATTTCTTGCTAATGAATGAATAATGCAAGTATGTTCACAGTACAAGTAAACATTCTGCTTACATCCTCACGATTTCCAGCTGCCGCCCCATGTTCCGATGGTTGCGAAGACCCATTCATCGTACTTGTAAAGCTTGAGCACAAGTTTCAGCCTCAAATTACAACATTCTTTCACTGAACACACGAATAGTTAAAAAAACAAGAACAATAATCAATAAAACTCAAAGGATACGTCAAGCAGGTCAAACTCAAATTCTTCTTCATTCGATTTGAAAGTGTTGTCTGTAGGACATGGGATTTACTAATGACGTCACTCTATTCATTTTTAATTTAGCTTCAATTCCTAAAATATTATTAAACTTTCCATTTGCCTGAAAAGTTTGGTAATTATTAAAATCATGCACTAAATTACCAAAACTTTTTTGGGGTTACGCTACAATCACGTAACTTAAAATTTGCCCAGTGTAATATAAATTTGCATTACAAGACAACGCTGCCTCCAACTCTTAACTTTGAGAGAAGATTTAAAAGTTCACAAATTGAGGTTAGACTACATGGTTTACTTTTTAGAATGTAAGCATGGCTGAGGAACTTTCCAACTTTTCCCAGTTAAAACTGCAAAATTGGATTGTCAAGCAATGCCACTCTATAGGTAAATATTAGCGATTATTTCTCCATGGTGTTCCTAAAATTGACGATTTGATTCAAGGTGTAAAACGTCCCACACCAATTCAAGCCAACTGCATCCCTAAAATCCTGGAAGGTAAAACATGCATTGGGGCTGCAAAGACAGGTAAAGTTTTCCAAGGGGCTTAAGGCCTGATTGAGCCACTGAGTTTGGTTTGCAGGAAGTGGTAAAACTCTGGCGTTTGCTCTTCCCATTGTGCAAAAGCTATACGAAGACCCTTATGGAATCTACGCCCTAGTTCTAACCCCTATAAGAGAGTTGGCATTTCAAATAGCTGATCAGTTTGCTATACTTGGAAAGCCAATGAATATGAGAACGTGTGTGGTTGTAGGGGGAATGGATATGGTAGAGCAAGGGAGGCAACTTTCCAAGGTGCCCCATGTGGTGGTAGCGACGCCTGGTCGTTTAGTTGACCACTTAGAGGGTTGCGACACGTTCACATTGTCTAGAATCAAGTTTTTGGTTATCGACGAGGCAGACAGACTGCTGGGTAGGTGTTTTTTTACCTAAATTGAACTGGTACTGAAGGTCATTTCCAGGTGGTCTGTTCGATGATCAAATCAAGAGGATATTCTCCGTGTTACCAAAGACGCGTCAAAGTATATATTTCTCGGCAACCATGACGGATACTTTACAAACCTTGAAGAAATTGGTGGCAGAAGATGCGTTTTTCTATGAAGATATCGGCCCATCTGAAGCGGTTACCGTTGCAGGGTTGACGCAGCAGTACATGCTGTGTCCTGCTTATGTAAAAGACGCTTATCTAGTGGAATTGCTCAGGATATTTATAAGTGAAAACGACCAAGGCACTGTGATGATCTTCACGAATACATGCAAGTAAGTGTTGGATGTCGATTTTACTTCTGGATTAACTACAATAGTTGGTGTTGCAGAAATTGCCAGCTGTTGTCCATCACACTGAACGAGGTCGGCATGGATAACGTGGCTTTGCATGCAATGATTCCTCAAGCCCAAAGGCTGGCGGCGCTAAATCGCTTCAAAAGCAACAGAGTGAAAATCCTAATCGCTACAGACGTCGCTAGCAGAGGTAACGCATTTCTAGCCAACAGTTAAATCCGGTTCCTCATGCCTCTTTTCCAGGTCTGGATATACCCAATGTTCAGTTGATTATTAACCACAACGTACCTAGAATACCTAAAGAATACGTCCATAGGGTAGGGAGGACAGCTAGGGCAGGCAGACAGGGAAGGGCGGTTACTTTAGTCACACCATACGATCTGAAACTGTTGCTCGCCATTGAAGAGCTCATCAAAACGAAGCTGACAGAATGCAAAGTTAATGGTAAGCAATCGGCCGCCAAAACTTTCGGTAAATTCACAGGATTGTTGCTCCTTCAGATAAAGAAGTGGCGGAAATATTCACGGAAGTATCAGTGACAAAGAGTGAAGCCTACATGAAACTGGACGCGACGGATTTCTTCGAGAAGAAAATGATCAATTTGAAGAAGAAGTGGATTTTGGAGGGCCTGGATCCAGAAGAGCAGGAGTACCAGTACTTGAACAAGAAAAAAATTGAGGCCAAGAAGAATAAGACTAAAATCAAAAGGCTGAAAAGTGACAAGAAAATAAGAAAATTAGACAGTTCAGTTGGAAAATCGAAAAATACATAAAATATCCGTAAAGTGTGTTTGATTGAGTATGTATATCTACTTAATACTCGTTTTAGAAACCCTTCATCTTCCGCCGCCAAACGGTAAAGCCCCACTAAAAAGATTTCAATATAAAAAAGAGCGACGCCGCTTTATTAAACTTGCCGGAGAGCGGAAATATTTAAAGTTTGCTAATTATGGCGCTTAAAAGCGCTTGCTGTGAACGGAATTCTAAACGGCTGTTTGTGCCTTTTTAGCGACGAATGCGAAAGTGGTGACTGGCCCTTTACCGACCACATTCAAGCTCGCTTTCGCACTTTGAAGACGTGATTGTGTAGTGGCTGTTTACGACTTGGAATTTGAAAAACTTGCACAAAACGTTCTGGTTTTTTTACGCAATTTGATTGGGTGTTAGGCATTAGTATGGAAACAGGGTTTGCATTTTTGGTGTCTCAATTGATGAATTTCGAACATTACAAGATTTAAAATGTAATTTTTACTTACTGTGCTTTATTTATCAGAATCTTCAGGTTTCTGATGTTAGCAAGTACAGATCTGGAGATGTGCTAATAACAGGCAGATTCAGGACTAGTTTAGACCCTTTTAGCTCTGATCAGCTGGGTTTAGCCTGGAAATAACACTTTGGAAACCTGTACATGTACAGGGTGTTGAGATGAGTGTTGTTTTCAGGCTAAACCCCGCTGATGAGAGCTAATAGGCGCAAAAGCGGTCTCCAATCATTCACTGTTCTTAAAGTATTCATTATTTTTCACTTCACACTAGTTCACCACATTAATTATTTAGAAATTCAGAAATAAAGACGAAAAGAAAAGCTATTTTGACGTACTAAAAGAGTTGACACTTGCCGTTGCCATGGAAATAAAATGTTTGTTTGGCCGACGTCGCATGACCGACAACGGTTGGGCGCCAAATTCAAATTCAAAATATTTTAAACAACTAAATCGGGAATTTGAAATACCAACCATCCAAATCATTTCCATTAATTTCCTATGGCTCGCCCGGTAAATTGTTATAATACAGTGTGTTTAGAAAAACTCGGAAAATGTTTGTAGAAGTTTACTTAAGCTCGGCATTACACCTTTTAATTTTAGTTTTTTTTTTGAAACAATAAAAAATATTCTTGATTCCTAAATAAACTTATAGAAAGTTTAAAACCCGGAAGAGAAGTGCAAATTTCGATATCTTCTGATGCGTAACATGCCCGTTAATTTTCCTTTTAGCCTTTATCCTTCAACTACTCCGCTATAGACGAAACGCAAACGTGCTTTGAGCTCAAAGACCGACAAAATTGCCTGACGTTTAAGTAGTTTTAATTGATGCTTTAAAACTTGAAACTGGTTGCTGCGTGCGCAAAAAGAAGAGAACCAATTTTGTACCGGAGGCGGGCGTATTGTTATGCAAAGCCGCCCCCTTGGGTAAAGTTCAAAACTTAAATTAGTCCCTATATGGCAAACGAGCTTTAAAGCCTTTGATGGTGGTCTTAATTTGGAAATGTTGCGATTATGTGCAACAGCCAGGGCTTTAAAGTGAACAATCATCACGAAAAAATGACGATTTCCTTCAACTCGGAAGATTTGGTCCTTCGAACTGGATCGAATTTATTTGCAGTTTATTAGTTGAAACTGGAGTCGATTTACTTGTTTGTTAAAAGATCTCGCTCAACGCTGGACTAGATTTTGATCTATTTCGTGAACCTGTTGAAAAAATTGTGAAAAACTGGAAGAAGCAACAATGTCTAAATCCCAGATTCAGACAGTAAAACAAAAAAATACGTTTTCAGTCGGGAAAAAGGAAAAACATCAGCAGATTAACCTAACTGGGTATTTTGATAGTCAAAGCGAATGTTAGAATTGCTCCTTAAATGCGACTACTGGCCATTACTGACCTAATTAATGCGTAATAAATACGTGATATTCGCCAGTAGTTGGAAAAAAATCTTAAAAATTAAAATGTCGCATTTGATTCCCAACAAATGCCCCCTAAGGCGGTTAATAATGAATTAAAGCCACATCGGTTTTAACTTCCCCAACTAATCACTAGTTAGTGCGGGCAGCACTTAAAAAAATTGCAAAGTGCCGAGTTTCGTTCAATATTTTCCATGCACGTTGCATTAGAACGTCTGACTTTACAATTATCCAAATGGAAAGCTTGAGAAGACAACGAGAAAATATTGATGAAAAGATCAGCGGCGCCCTACATATCAGCGCAATAAACTTATTAACTCTGTCAAAAAACTGATTTTTTATTTGTTTCCTATATTTTGCTAATTGTTTTAAACACACTTTGCATCAAACAATTTTTCTAAACCCTTTTTCGAGTGACAATTTATTTATATTTATGAAGGGAAAACCTTGGCTGCGTCGATGTTTAGATTGCTCAAATATGGACAAAAATTGCAGGAAATTAATTGAGTTTTTCTCTTTTTTTAGGAATTTTACTATGCATCAGATGCGCTTTTGATTTGGCCAGATTAGTCGCCAACGATTATCTACCACAATAAAACTTTCCCGAATTGATCAACTTAGGAACTTCAATTGTTTAGTCAATATTTCTAAAGGACATAACTGTTTGCGGCTAAAGCCCAGAATACTAAAAAGTATCCATTTCATCGTCAGCCTACGAAAAAGCAAAAATAAAACTGTTTTATGTATCTACTGTTTAATATTTTGCAAATAAAAATGTTTTAAGTCTTCACGATCAACATTCAGCATTGAAACTCTTCAAAATGAGTCTTCAAAAAGCCAGTAAGATGCCATAAAACCGAGACTTTAGTTATAAGGACGATAATAAGTTTAGATTGGCTTGTGGCCGCCATCTCGAAGGTTGCAATAAAACTTTTGCAAAATCAAATGCTTCCTCAGGCCCCAAAGGACTTAAGGAGGCAGCTCGGGAGTGCCTAAAAGTATCTGCCAGAATCAACAAACTTAGCAAAAGCTCAATGTAATTTAATTACCAAAAACTCCGTTTGCCGCACTGTTGCTCAATTTTCTTTACCTACATTCTTTGATAGTTCAATCAACAAACTGAGGTTTGCAAAAAATCCTTGTTCACTCTTAGAGAGAAGTGCTACGCACCTGATGAAAAAAACTAGTATCTCCGCCTCTATTCCACCGACTTTTCTGCAAACAACCGAATCGCCGCCTTCAAACATCAGAAGTAAACGAGCGGCAATTATCCGGTTCAGCCCCCTTATAAAAACTGGAGCAGAATGATCGGTTCGACTCAGAGCCCCAATGAAGCCCATTGAAGATCAATCGCTTTTCCGCGCTTGCAAGATCCTAGTGCTTTGTGGGGGGATGTGGCGGGGCAACATCCCCAATTGGCCGATCGCCCACCAAAAATTATACAAGGTGTTTCTAAGGGGCGCCCAGTTTGCCTACTTCTTTTGCTTACCATCGCTGGTTCTTTCGCTGTGGGTAAATGTGGACCAAGATAATGAAAAAGGTAATTATTAATTAAAAGAACAGTTAGATAAGGGCAATTTGCTGCGGAAGTGTCGATTTGACTGACAAAACAATCAGTAGAATATTGTACGGTTAAAAAAATTACTTTTTTCTGGTTGATATATCCCGAAATGAGTATTTCAAATCCCGATATCTCAAAAACTCCCGCTTAAATCCACATTTTACCTGATATCTTTTCTAAGTAGAAGACTTTGAGGAATATGGATTTTTATGTATAACTGAAGTACAGTGTGGCTCAAAAAAGTGATGGCGTTCTAAATGTGTGCAAACTACCGCAGCTGGCACCTTCTAAAATTTCCAACAGAATTGAAATTAGATTTAAGTTTCCCCCCCAAAAAACTACCCCTCTGCCAAATTTTACCACAATTCATCGCAAAATATTTGGACAAAACTTTCAGCGACACCCTGTACGTATATGTGAACTAATCCTGCGCTACACGAAAATGTCCTTCGTAAATGTGGACGAAAAACGCTCATTTTTTGGGCAAAGATATTTAAATTAGCTGTTGAAATGCAGGGGCTCCACTGATAAAGAAACGCAAGCATTTTTTAAAAATATCCGCCGGTTTGTTTCTGTGAACAAAAGTGTAAACGTTTTTTGGCAGTAAAACCGAGCGAAAAACAACTAAAACTCGATACCCAATAAACCTGTATTTTCAGTTACGTTTTCCAAAGACGCTGTCTTCAATTGCAATGTTTTTGGCAAAAAATGCACAATAAAATGCGTTGTTGTAATTTGCTGCTGACCGTCATATTTAGTGGTAAAAAGTGTTCTTTGGTAGAACAGGAAAAACACTATTTTACTTAGGCCAATGCTTCGGCCATATTTTTAACCAATCTTTAGGGCTCAAGAACATGGCGTTTTTTTTGGTTAAAATTGTCGCCAAAGCCAGTAACGTTATTAGACTGATCGAGTTTATTCGCCTTGAAAGTGTGGCAGAAACTAAAATACGTACGCGAAAATAATTGGAGCAAAAACACTCAATTCTTGAGCCCTGACGATGGCTAAAAACATCGCCCAAACTTGGCCCGAGTAAAATAGTGTATTTTCTTTAAACCAAACCCAAAAGTACCAAAAAAACACCTTTTAAGCAAACTGTAATGTTTCAAAGACTCCCGATGCCTTTCTCCTTCCAGCTATCAGTGTGCTGAAGAATATAACATTTGTGGTTGTTATTTTCTGCAAAATGATTATTATCCAATCCCGACGAGTCACTGTGCTGATTCAGATATTTCAAAAACTCCCGCTTAAATCCACATTTTACTTGATATCTTTTCTAAGTAGAAGACGTTGAGGAATATGGATTTTTATGTATAACTGAAGTACAGTGTGGCTCAAAAAAGTGATGGCGTTCTAAATGTGATGGCGTTCTAAACAGAATTGAAATTAGATTTAAGTTTCCCCCCCAAAAAACTACCCCTCTGCCAAATTTTACCACAATTCATCACAAAATATTTGGGCAAAACTGAAGGCAAGTTGAACCTTGGACGCTCTGTATCTCTGAAATCATCCACTTTTGGACCAAGTTAAAATGAGTTGGATTCGTCATATTTTAGATCCGCACCTTTCAGCGACACCCTGTATGTATATGTGATCTAATCCTGCGCTACACGAAAATATCCTTTGTAAATGTGGACGAAAAACGCTCATTTTTTGGGCAAAGATATTTAAATTAGCTGTTAAAATGCAGGGGATCCATTGTTAAAGAACCACTAGCATTTTTTAAAAATATCCGCCGATTTCTTTGTCTGAACAAAAGTGTAAACGTTTTTTGGCACCAAACCGAGCGAAAAATAACTAAAACTCAATTCACAATAAACCTGCGTTTTCCAAAGACGCGATCTTCAAGTGCAATGTTTTTGGCAAAAAATGCACACTAAAATGCCTTGTTGTAATTTGCTGGTGACCGTCATATTAATGGTAAAAAGTTTTCTTTGGAAGAACAGGAAAAACACTATTTTACTTAGACCAATGTTTCGGCCATATTTTTAGCCAATCTTTAGTGCTGCAAAAACATATTTTCTTTTTTGGTTCAAATTGTTGCCAAAGCCAGTTACGTTATTAGGCTGATCGAGTTTATTCGCCTTGAAAGTGTGGCAGAAACTAAAATATGTACGCCAAAATAATTGGGGTAAAAAACACTCAATTCTTGAGCCCTGACGATGGAAACATCGCCCAAACTTGGCCCGAGTAAAATAGTGTATTTTCTTTAATCCAAACCTAAAAGTACCAAAAAAACACCTTTTAAGCAAACTGTAATGTTTCAAAGACTCCCGATGCCTTTCTCCTTCCAGCTATCAGTGTGCTGAAGAATATAACATTTGTGGTTGTTATTTTCTGCAAAATGATTATTATCCAATCCCGACCAGTTACTATGCTGATTGAGGCGGCCTCTGAAAAAGAGCAGCAAGCCATCCTTTCAGAAGATCCTCAAATTTCGGAAATTCACCGGCGCCATGTCGTTTATACGGAGTTTGTTGTAAAGTCTATAATGTTGTGCACCTTTTTGGCTGGCCTGGCTTATGTTGTTGGAGGTGAGCACTTTGGGAAACATTTTAATATTCAGCTAATTTCAGTAGGTATTTCGCGAATGTATTAATTCTATTAGTTGCCATTGACTGTGGCTTATCGAGTGAGAATGTTGATTTTCAACTCATTTTTTTCATAGATTTATATTTGGCCAATGAATTTTACAAATTACACCCGAATGCTGCGCCAACCGATCCAAAGCCGCACAGCATCTATTTCTGGTTTCCCTTCAACCCAGATGAGTACTACAAAATTGCATTAACATATGAATTTGTGCATATTGTCCAAACTGTGATCTACAATGGGGCCAGTCACGCTGTGGTCAATTCAGGTAAAAAGTCCTAGAAGTTCTGAATATTGTCCTCTTTGAATGAGCGGCAAACAAAAATCCAATTTTTTCCTGTGGATTTGTATAGATGCTTACCGCGCTCATTTTCAGCGATAATATTTGTAAAGGTCGAATTGAAGATTCTAGAATATGAGATAAGGCATATGATGTCCAAGCCAAATTTGAGCAATTTGACCCCAGCGCAGCTAATGAAGATTCATATCCGAAAACATCAGGAATTGATCAAGTAAA